ACATGACAGTAGACTGAGTAGAGCCGCATGATTTCATACCTACTAAAATTATAGGATGTTAGAGCAGCATTATTTCAGTAAAAAGTAGGACTTATCCTAACCTGTATGGCAATGTGGAATTCTGTAAAGGTAATATATTCTCATGTTAACATGAGAAACTGTATCAAAAAACCTACCCTACCACGTTACACCACCTTCCACTGCAGTGAAAATTGATAAACTGAGCGCATTAGAAACTACTACACTTCCGAAATCGCGCGTGGTTTGACATCCAATCCCGTGTTGGCAACGCCTCAACAACTTAACTAGTCATTTATCTGTAGGCTAGCGGACAAGTTTTTGCAATTAATACGTTCTAAAATAAAAAAAATCCATCCACACTTGCAAAAAATTCTCACGATTGGACAATACCAAAAAAGTTTTCGATATCACACAAAATTATGAAATAAACTGTCGTTTTTTCACTGCGTACATTCACATCGAGCGTTCTATATTTACGTATGAGAAGATGGTGTCACATGTGCTTTTGTTTTGGTTGCGTCTAGTTTGATTTCACAATAAATAGATTTGATTCACATTCCATACTGAGATTTAAATGATTGAAAGTTTTTTAAATTATAAAAACCCATTTATGCGTTCCAGATTTGAATTTTTTCAATTTTTTTGCCCTATTATGTTGAATTTACCTCATTAAATTCACTTTTATTTCTGAATGATTTTGTCTGCCATCCCGAGTTTTCGAATGTTTTGTGTCTTTTAGAAAATGTACGTTGTTTAAAATGGGAAACTATTTCATTATATAAAACATAGAGCATGTACCATATAGTGCATTAATAATACAATTTAATTCAATAAAAATTAATTTTTAATTTAAAAATATAATCAGATTTTTAATTCAACATTTTTCTAATACATTAAATTCTAATAGAATTTAATTCTACAGCATGCACCATCTAGTGTATTAAATAATAAAATTTGATTTAGTAAAATTTAATTTTAATTAATTTTTCAATTTAATTCTACAGCTTCAACCGGTAAAAATGAGCATCATAGGAATGAAAGTAAAACTGTCATTCATACATCACAAATTGAATGACATTGGATGGATTTGATAGGTATTTTATTAATCCTGTTTATATATAAGAGCAGAAATGACGCTTCTATATCAGAATGATAATGGAAATGTTCCTACTATTTCAGAAACTTTTCTTGAATACAGGTGAGATCGTCATTTGTCATTCGTGAGGAGCTGTAAGAAAAAAAATCACTATTTTTGATGTAAAAGAATGTTTTTCAATTAAGAGAAATGCAATACCGTAAAATGGGGTAACTTAGACCGGCGGGGTAACTTAGACCACTTTTCATTTTTTTAACAAAAACCCCCACAACTCAAAAACTATTTGACATAGAAAAATTTTGTCAATGGGCATTAAAGGCCTAATACTGAGGCTACATAACACAATAGGAAGATTTGAAAAGTTTGCATATCTAATAGGTTAAAAAATTAAAGTGTGACCCATGAAAAAAATCTATTATTTAAAGCATGTCAGAGTACCCCCTCCAATTTTTTTAATTTTTGGTTAAATAACTCCAGGTTTTGATGCATTGTAGTAGAACTCTTCTAGTTACATATGCAAATGACAAATTTTAGGAAAGTGTCATAGTTTGCAAATGGGGGGGCGCCATCCCCAAATGGGATAACTTAGACCACCTAATGTCAGCCCTAATGGGGTAACATAGACCGGCTTGGAAGTTAATATAAAATTAACATATTTTATGTTTGACAGCCTATTTATGTTTTTTCTATATGTTTCAGACTCTACAGAGTCTTATATATGGTAATTTTAACTTAATTTCCAAGCCAGTCAATATTACCCCATCAGGGCTGCCATTAGGTAGTCACATTTCCCTCATTATGGGGCGGCGCCCCCCATTTGCAAACTATGACACTTTCCTCAAGTTTGTCATTTGCATATGTAACTAGAAGGGTTCTACTACAATGCACCAAAACCTGGAGTTATTTGGAGTTATTTTATCAAAAAATATAATTGATTTTACCACCCGGTCTAAGTTACCTCAGGAACTGGGGTAACAAAGACCCATCACTTTTTTTGAGATTACATAAAGACTCTGAGAGGCAGGAGCCAGCAATTTATGGTGAGTGAAGCTAGAGTATAGACCTGTATTTTGCATGTTTCAATTCAAGTTTAATTTAGCTAGTAAAAAAATGGCATCATTTATAAAAAAGAAAGTGGTCTAAGTTACCCCATTTTACGGTACTTGATTTTTGGAAATACGATGCTACAAGTAACGATTGGTATTAGAATTCAATAGACATTATTTACAATTTCAGAATTATCTTCAAAAAGTTTGTTTTCGTTCATTTGATCAAAAGTTTTCGTTAGTTTGATCAGAAGTTTTCGTTCGTTTGATCAGAAGTTTTTGTTCGTTTGATCAGAAACAGAAAAAGTTTTTGTTTGTTTGATTAGAAACAACATAATTATTCATTCTCTTGCACTAAGTATACGAATGATTAATTGGACTCCGTTACTACCACGAAAGCTTGTTATAAGCTTTTTGTCCTTACGATAAACAAGAGTTTATTTAGGTTCTACTGACCATAATAGCCTAATAGGTAGAACGATGCTACATATTTGTGGCCATCCAATGATCGGTTGACGGCTATGACTCTTGATACCACTGTACAAATATTGTGGTAGACACATCATATAGATGTTTCAATGCAAAGATTCTTATTTAAAGGATAATAAATTGATTCGTAATTGTTTACTCCCACCTATAGATATAAATGAACCTCATTCATATTTATTTTGAAATCAACCATGTCAGAGTAATAAGATAATTTGTTCACATTTTAGGCTTCCAAAAATATTTCAAACCTCTATCAGAAATATCATAATTAATCATTCTCTTGCATTGAGCATATGAACGTTATGCATCGTGCTGCCGCTGCCGCGATCATCATTCGTTTCTGTCATTTGCATGCCGGGGGCCTGCCTTCATTTTTCTATGTAGTCTCGCTCCCATGAATTGCATGTTTAGTGTGTGCATCATGTAGCTAATTCAGGGTTGGCAATTTTTTTGATTTTTTTAAAAAAATCAAAAAAATCAAAAATCAATGTTTTTTTTTATTTTTTCATGATTTTTTTGATTTATTTGATTTTTTTGATTTTTTCAGCTTTTTTGTATTTTTGAGGCGTTATTATTTATGTTGCAAGTAGCCTACTAACAATAACAGTATATGGATCATAATGGATGGCTAAAAAGGGCACTTATTGCCTTCAATAATGGCCATTGGCCAACATGCCAAGGTGGCGTTCACCACTTAGGGATTTTTGGGTAAACAATTATTGATGAGTCTATTCATTAGCTTTGTAAAGTTTGTATGGAGCAAGGCAATGAGCTAAATATTGACCATTTAACTGGCTTCAATATACAAAAACACTTCAGGAATGCAGATCTTCTAAACATTGAAGAGTCACGTAACAGATAGGTAGCTGATAGCACAGTGCACAGCACTATCAATAGATCTACTAGTTTTGTGTCCTATAAATCTACCAGACTCTACCCTCCATACACTCCGACTAGTAGTGACTGTAGCTGATAGCACAGTGCACAGCACTATCAATAGATCTACTAGTTTTGTGTCCTATAAATCTACCAGACTCTACCCTCTATACACACCGACTAGTAGTGACTGAGTGACTGACTGCACTGTTCTCATTTAATTCAGACCAATAAACCAATACTAAATATAAACTGAGCGATAACCAAACAAACCTCATACGACTTGAAATGAGACTTAAGTTATGAGAAAAGCTAACACTGTTTGAAATACACATGTGCACAATTCAAATATTTTATATCCATTCATTGCATTTAATTATTTTATATATAGTCTTATAATTGTAATTGTTTTGTTTCTAGTTTCAAATTCACATACCGGTATTTAAAGATTGAAATTAAATATTTTAATTAGAATACTTGTATTAGGGTGGAAAATCTTTCTGATTGCCTGAAAGGTCAATACTATCTCGACCTCTCAATATACAGGGTGGAGCAGAACCGATTGAGCAGTTTTGAGGTAAAATAAAAGAGTAATGGAGGTACTACATAAAGAAGAAAGTTTATTTTCCTAGAGGTTAGCATAACATACCATTTAGAATACTTATGTTTTGCAAACAATATCTGGAAGATGGGGGCCGTTAGCTGCAACACACTGTTGGAGTCGTTCTCAGAGGAGGGAGTAACCGTAACAGTGAATTCCAATCGCTATGCTGCAAAATTTCTTACAGCCCATGATGGAAAACATTGTTGAAAATGAAGCATTGAGAGACGTGTGGTTCCAGCAGGATGGGGCTACAGCTCACACAGCTCGAACTGTCTCTTATACACATCTAGATGTGTATAAGAGACAACGGTAAAGCAATGCGGATTGCGGAAGTTGAAAATTTTATGAAATGACATGTTTGCGAAGTGCAAACCGCGATTTTTTAATCAAACAAAAATTTATGACATTCAAGCCACGAGATTTCATACCTACTGAAATTATATGATATTAGAGCCGCGATATTTCAGACAAGAATAGGACTTTTCCAGACTAGTTTGGAGAAATAAATCATAGTTTTGTTGAATTACTTTCCATTCTATGATGCCTGGTGCACAATTCTATACATGACATGCTATGCACAATTTTGTGATGACCGATGATGCACTAATTTTTTGACAAGTGAAATTTTTTTCGCTGAGCAAGGAAAATGTGATCAATAGCCTATAAATATAATTCAGTATTACTTATGTAAAATTGAAAATTGACTGGACAACAAATTGATCTCAAATTTAGATTGTAAATCCTCATCTAATAAGGATAGTAATAGTAGGTATAGGGTATAAGGTCAACTAGCTATGTGATACCTAATATGTACAAGGCATAAGCCATGATAAGGCTAAATTCAGGAGTTTACCCTCACCTCACTCACCCATTAATATCAATATCCTCTTCTGCAACACCATCTTCAATTTCTTCTTCTTCATCACTATCCAAGTCTGGGCCCATATAATTCCCAAACTCATCATAGAGATCTGCATCCATGATAATTACTTCCTGTTTGCTCGCTTTTTAATTCATACAAACTGTAGTGCTCATTAGCCAAGCGCAAACGTTTTGTTTACTTCACTGATCCAAAGATCACTGGCGTACCGCATTCGAAGTTTCGAAACTCGCGACCACAGTAATGATGATGATGACAGGTTGTAGGTGACGAAGAAGTCGCGACCACAGTATCAAAACAGCATCGCAGGAAACGTCCTCTATATTCAGAAGCGACACCTAAAAATTGTGTGCAAGAAAATAAATTATTTATATTCTGAAATTTCAGAATAATATGTATATATGACAAATTTTTAGTATAAAACTGATTTGCAATAAAGCTAGAAATATTGTTGAAATATCCACGTGATAAATCATTGTGACATTTTTATTTACGCTCAGTAGAGGTCGCTGTTAGCTAACACTTTTATATACTCGCCCGATTCCTTAGTTAGTGGCATCCATTTTCATAACAACGAATATATCCACCATAGGCAGCCTGCTGAATTTGCTGAAATGCCGATGGCCCGATAGCCTATGATAGGCTACCTGCTACCATACCAGATTACCAGTGCGTTGTGCAGTGCCGTATCATGGCTGCGACGGCATATGTACCTATGCGTTATGTTGTCTCGCACCCCTTGCAAGTTGCAATACTACTTTTCGATAATTATCTTATTTCTATATAGGCCTAATCAGCTTTTTTTAGAACATTTTACCTTGGGGCTATTTTTTATGTTATTTGTACCATTTTAATTGTGAATCGTGCAGATGTACAAACTACAATGCATTTGGCTTTGCATCAAATTTTACATGCCGTCAGGCGTCAGATTGTCTGGTATGCCTTGCAATATTACTTTATAGTTTTTGATAATTATCTTATTTTTTATATAATCAGCACTGTTTTAGGACATCCTGCATCAGGGCTTCCTTCCTGTTGTTTGCACCATTTTAATTGGGGATCGTACAGATGTAAAAAACTACAAATTACCTTTTTTTTGTAGGTAATACGGTAGGTGAATAATATGAAAAAATAAATTTGAAATCCTTTAATGTTTAAACAGGGTAGAATTAAGGCTTGTAGTTGTAGTCAAAATGCAGCAAAGTCTGAGAGGGAGGTTTTTGCGACCATCGTGTAAAATCCTTGATCTGCTCAAAGCCTGGCCAGTCGCTACCCTCGAGCTTCAAGCTTGTACTCTTTGTAATATGATATCCTAGCCAGACCCTTCTTCGCGGCAACTGGTCGCTTTCAGGTGGCTAATTGGATAGGCCGACCACTGGCCACGTATTATTCTTCGCCCCTCATTGACTTCGCCTTTACCATGCCACCCGTTGTGAACTGACAGTTGAGTAATTTACGACGTCTCTTTCCCCTCAAACATTGCACAACCGTCACAAGGCTCACAACGTCTCCATTTGAGCAGCTAGTATGCGGGATTTTCCCTCCGCGCATAGTGACAAAGCAGAGATTTTCTAGAATCAGTTCATTTTTAATTTCCTCATTTACTCCAGATTTATACCCATTTCTTATGTATAACAATGCTGGTATCCAGGATACTTCTCTGGTCTACTTATAGGACTCAAAAGTGAACTTGAGGCACAGGCAGAGTCTAAAAAAGTTTCTGCTTTGCCACTATGCCTCCGCGTATCAACAGACTCGATCATAAATATTTTTTGGTAGAAAATATCTATAACAAGGAAGCTGATCAAGGAATGCCGAATATACCATTCAATTGACAATAAAAATTACAACCTGTTTATAACTTGAAAAAAGTGTAAAAGTCGCAGACATGATGAACAATAATCAAAGTTTCTTGAAATTTCCTCTCATTAAAACTCTTTTAATACAAAGTTTACATATTTTTTATCACTGGTCGACGCTTATAAATAAATAGCTGGGTAAGTATGGAAAAATCCATATCGCCATCTCATTTGCGAGTGGAGTAAAGTCTATCCTAATTAGTGAAGAAACGCTTAGGGAAGAGCCCAGCCTGCTCGAAGCCTCTCGGGTCTCAATCAGGGCCTTAAGCATTTGTCATAATTTTAGCCTGCTAGTGATAGCTATAAATATAAACATTTAACTGATCTAAGTAGGGTAAACGCGGTATATTCCGACAATCGACATCGTGGGTAATTCCGTCACCTCTCTAGTTTTTCCTTTATATTAAGCTTTGTTTTAGTTCCATGCATTTGTTGTTGGTTGAAATGGTGAAGTCATATATTTGTGCGTCAAACTAATGCCAAAACACTAGGTCTTGGCTATCTAGCGGGAAAATATTGAGATCCAAAGAGAGACGATGCATGCTACCCAGTGAGATCATCGAAAAATGTGTCAAATTTGACAGTTGACCTTGCTCTACCATTGTCAATGGTATTTGGTTCACTACCAAATAGTTAATAACTGTTTGTATAGGAAGAATATTATGGTTTGAGACTTTTAAATACGTCTGTGAATATATTAGGAATCCTTTAAGTATACTTGTATAATATATAAAAAAACGTTTAAAATAAATTGAATAATGTTCATTTATATCTATAGGTGGGAGTAATTCGAGTAAACAACAACGAATTGATTTATTATCCTTTAAATAAGAATCTTTGCATTGAAACTTCTGGAAGATGTGTCCACCGCAATATTTGTACAGTGGTATCAAAAGTCAAAGCCGTCAACCAATCATTGGATGGCCGCAAATATGTGGCATCATTCTACCTATTACAGTCAATAGAACCTAAATGAACTCTGTTCATCAAAAGGACAAAAAGCTTATGTATCAAACATATGTGGTAGTACAATAAATTTTGAGATCTCCAGTCATGAGACTTAAATTCATACTCATAGGTGAGCTTGAATTTCTGCACTGTGTTCAATTAAGCAATTTGTAAAAGCATAAATTTCAAATAGGTACCAACTTTTTCAATTTAATTCTGAATGAGTCGGGTCTGCTGAATTCTAATAGGGATCATTAATTTTTGCATCGAGTTTCTGAAAATCAAGTATTGCATTTCTTTTAAATTAAAAACATTCTTTTACATCAAAAACAACAATTTTTCTCTTACAGCTTCTTTGATAATTGATGATCTCACTCATATAACTTAATATTTTAAATTTAATGATTTTGTTATTTTGATGACTTAACTTTCTTTGGTTCATTAAAATAAAATAATTACTGCTTATAAACAACCAACGTTTTCTAAAAGACACAAGACCTTTGAAAACTCGCCATGGGAGACAAAATCATTCAGGATTTGAAGTGAAGTTATTAAGACAAATTTGACATTATAGGGCGAAAAGTCGAAAACATGAATAAATTCGTATTTAGAAGCGTATCAATTGGTGTTTGAATTTTGAAACAATTTTTGATCATTTAAATGTCACTGTGAAATGTGGATCAAATCTATTTATTATGAAATTGAACTTTACAAGACCAAAACAAGGTGTCTGACACCGTTGTTACCGGTGTCTCAACGCGGGTGAGACGAACTCGTCGCCTACTTTGACTAACTTGTTGGTAACCAAGAATTAGTGAAACTAATATGATGACTAGAGGTTGAAAAGGAAAATGAAACGCAAATACTGGTTCTAATAACTATTGGGATCTCATACAGTGAAAGTGACAGAATAATGACAGAATAAAGGGAAATGTGTAAAACTGATTAGCTGAAGCTGAACTAAATATGACGCCAAGTAAAAATGCACACGGACCAATGAATAAGATGCACACCAATAACTGCTTCCAATGCAAGTCAGTCAGGAGGTTTATAGGGTGCTAATCACTCAAGAGGTCAAGGACTAAGGAGAGCTTTCCAGCAAATCACTTGAGAGGTTAGGGACTAGGGAGCATGGGACAATTTAGACAGCACCACACTTTAGAATAGTTTTTGGCATAAATTTATGTAATCAATTACTGATCTAAACCTGACCTGAAAAGAATGAGAATTATTTTAGTTGAATTTATAAAATAGTTAAACACTTCAATATAAACACACAGTAACACACATAAGAGGGAAAAAGGGGACAACATATAAGAGGAACAAGAGGGTGTGCTGCAAAGTAGCCTAAACCACCCCCGCCAACACCGTCTTGTCTAATGTCAACAGTCAACACAATGTTGCCATACGCTGTGAAAGATTAGCAGTTTATCCCATCATTCTGTGTGGATTTGAGAACTTTGTTGGTATTTGTGAATTTGTGAGAATTTTCTGCGAAAGTTTACGTAATTTTTATTTTTATTTTGGAACATATTCATTAAAAAATTTGTCGATACAGATACACGACTAGTGTATGTATTGGAGGGAAGAGTTACCGACTTTTTATTGGTTTTCGAACCACACGCAAGCGAGTTAAAGGAAGTGCAGCTGTCCGGGTGTCTGCAGTTTCTGACAAGCTCAGTGTAAGAGTATCAATTGTCACTTCGGTGGAAGGTGTAAGGTGGTAAATTTTTCTATACATTTTCTTTTGTTAACATGATAATATATTACCTATACAGAATTCCATACTGCTGTACAAATATTGCGGTGGACACATCTTCCAGAAGTTTTCAATGCAATGATTCTTATTTAAAGGATAATAAATCGATTCGTTGTTTACTCGAATTACTCCCACCTATAGATATAAATGAACATTATTCAATTTATTTTAAACGTTTTTCATGAATTCGCATTAAAATATTTATTTTGAAATCGACCATGTCAAAGTAACAAAATAATTTGTTATAGTTTTAGGCTTCCGAAAATATTTCAAACCTCTATCGAAATATCATAATTAATCATTCTCTTGCATTGAGTATATTAACGTTATGAACCGTGCCGCCGCTGCTGTGATCGTCATTTGTTTTTGTAGTTGCATGCTGGGCGCCTGCTTTTGTTGTTCTATTTAGTCTCGCTCCCATGAATTGCGTGTTTAGTGTGTGCATCATGGAAAGTCTGCTTGACAGCGTAGTCATGGTAGCTGTAATTACTTTATTAAGTTTACTTCTTTGCAGTCATATTAAGAGACAAATCTTTAACAAACTAATACTTTGTGTAATTTTAATTGTTGAGTGAAAGCTGCGCCTGCTGCCTGCAGCCTTGCTGGCATGCAACATTTCCAAGTGAATTACCTTATAGAAACTTATCATACCCATACGTGTTTAAAGCCTATAAGAAGTTCATTTTTTTGCCTCAAATA